TGGGTGGGTGGGTGGGTGGGTGGTTGGGTGGTTGGGTGGTTGGGTGGTTGGGTGAGTGGGTGGTGTGCGTGAGAGGTGTCGGACCAAATACCCTTACAAGGGTATTTGGCCATGTTTTTGCATTCGACATGGTGACGGCGTCGGCTACAATGATGGAGCCAGTCGGGAACGGAAAGGGTGTGCACGCCAGAGCGTGACGTTCGAACCGAATTCCTCGGCCAATGAGGCCGAGGCGAATCGGCAAGAAAATTTCGAGAGTATGAGCGCGCGTTATTATGACGCGAGCCGTGATGATTAGGATCAGAAGTAATACCCCTCGAGAGAAGAGGTCGAAGGGTCAGTTAGGTTAATATTGTGTCGATACGATCTATGACACGCACAGAGACTTAATCGTCAGTACATTAGTCAGAATAAATTAATATACGCCCCGACCGTACATCCGGAGCAATTAGAACGGTGTGATCATCGGCTTGCCGTAGCACCCAGATTGTTAGCACATGCTCGACGGGGTACCTTCCGTTCTTACTCGTATACCGCAAGTGAGGGTGAGACCCTCGCTCAACCTCCCATTTGAAGTGGGACGCATCCCTCTTGGGCAGAAAACTTTCTAATCGCTCGACCACGCGAGCAAACCGGTGTCTCCTCCCTTTAGGAGGGAAACTTCATTACGGACCCTGATATCGTTCGTACAAGCATTAGACTCAGGCTACTTGGACTGGTACCTGCCTACCTACCGCTACCAGACCCCTAAAGGTGCTAACTTTTGTCTTCTTCTGCTCGGCGGCCGGTTCCCCACACATCGACCACTATTCGGATGATACCGGTAGACCTGACACTTGAGTATTTTCCTCGCCGCAACCCCGATGTTACGGCAACAGCTAAGTACCGGCCCTTCGGGCCATACCAGGTCAACAAGGTATCCTTGCTGATCACGCACACACTCAAGCCGGCGAGCACATAGGCGGGCACGCAGACCAGCAAGCGTGCACACACGCACAAGCTAGAATGGGCTCAGGCCGCTGGTTGGACTGAGCCCCACTACTATATACATAGTAGAGCTGCTCCTTTTTTACCCGAAGTGGGAGCTAGCTCAGTAGGTTTAGGTGGAAGGCTATCATGTGACAGACCCGGGGGTCGAATCTGCCCGACCACCAGAGCTAGCTCCCTTTTACAAGGAGCTTTATTTTTAGTTTTTCCCGGTTGCGGTCGGCCGGGACTTTCCATGTGTCGTCGCTAGCAAAGGACCTTTTGCTGATGCAGAATCTGTTGTGCTGCCTATGACGACGGACACATTTCAAAAGTTCGTTGCAAAAGCAAATTCGCGACAAATGGCGAGGCTGATTGCAGACTGTCTGTTCCATCTCATATCGTACATCAAAGAGATAATGGTACAAGTCGTAACGAACGCAGGCCAGCATGGAGGGAATAACGAATGTGAGCATTGCAGGAAAGGACTTCACATCAACTACCGCTTAAAAACTCTCTACACAAGATGTCAAATCGTGGTTGCGCGAGTGGTCAGGGACGCGTGATCTTTCTCTCTCTCCTTCTCTCTCTCTCTCTCTCTATCTCCATCTCTCTCTCTCTCTCTCTCTCTCTCTCTCTCTCTCTCTCTCTCTCTCTCTC